GGCATGTACCCCACCACTGACTCATACACTTTTATGTGCTTAATTAGTGCTACATTTTTCCCTAAAGTTGCCATAATGAACACCTAATGTTTCATTGTTCTGAATTTCTGTTGTGGGTCTTCTGTCCTAAGACCTACAAATGGAAACCCCAAAGCAAATATACATACACATGACTCACATCACCATTTCCTTTGTGGCCAGACTGTGTCCACTATTAAAATATTTACAAAATCCTTTAATTATTTTTCCTCTTTAAAAATGTTTTGTATGATTGTGTGTGCATATGTGTGTGTGTGTGTGTGTGTATGAGTGTGATGAATGTGCTACTTCATATGTGCAGAGGTCAGACAGTGATGTTAGTATCTTCCTCTGTTGTTCTCCATTTTATTAACTACTTAAATCAATTAATTAATTTAAGACTAGTCAATGAGATCTGTCTCTAACTTCTCCACCTTCCAAATCTTGAGGTTCTATATATATGCTCCATGTTCATGTCTAGCTTTATGTGGATGCTGGGGATTCAAACTAGGTCCTTGTGCTTGTGAGGCAGGTACATTTCTAACTGAACTATTTCCCCAGATGCTCTTCAACTTTCCCTAACTTTCATAGTGTATAAAAAATAGATTTCATTATGACATTTTCATAAAAATCATACTTCACTCCTCTACTACCCTGCTTCTCCCTCTGTAATGAGGATTTAACTTGTGATCTCATTTATGCCAGACTAGAGTTAGGCCACTGAGTCCTCAGCCCCTTACTGTTGATTGCCAGAATCCAGATATTATCGTTTGAATGAGAATGATCCCATAGCCTCATATGTTTGAATGATCGGGCTTCAGTTTGTGGCACTGTTTGGGAAGGATTAGGAGGTTTGGCCTTTATAGGAAGTGTGTCATGGTGGTGAGCTTTGAGATCTCAAAAGTCTACTCATTTTCAGTTAGCTCTCCTCTCTGCCTCACGCTTGTGGATTAGGATGATGCCTCTTTATGGCAATAGAAAAGTAACTAGGCACCAGGCATGTACTCTACCACTACGGTGTATTACCTACTCTTTTAAGAATTTATTTGGACATATGGTCTAGCTAAATTACTTAGGTAATGACTGATGCTTAATCTCAGCTTTCCTAATGCAAAGATGAGAAGCAATGGTTGGCCATGCCCCTCATTAGACTTCCCTTTCTCAATAAGACTTCACTTCTCTTTACTGGAGAGAGAGATGGTGTTAGGGAAGGGAAGCAGCATCCTTCTTGCGAAGTTCAGCCAAACCCTTTCTGATGTTGGCAGCAGAGTTATACTTTAGCGATTCAGGAAGGAGAAAGGTCAAAAAACCATGGTGATTTCAGGCATTGCATCAGTACTTTTCTGACCTTGGCAAGGTGCCACAATAGACTTGAATGACCCTGGGACCTTTGTCCTGCAAAGCGGGGTGATCTGGCACTGAACTTGGGTCATAATTCTAATGCAGGATTCCCCGTGGGAGCCATGAAGTGCATTTCATACAGTAGCTGTTATAATATTCACATTTTGGGGGAGATAAATTGCCTTTACCTACTGTTAGAAGTACATATGTGTTAAGAACCTTTCTTAGGCCACACAGTGGATTAGAACATCAGCCTGGGATACAGAGGAAGACCATGTCTAAGACAAACAAAAAAAGATACCAACATCCAAATGTGTTTTGATGTGGGACTCCCCTCTGTATGCTGTGAATATCATTGGTTAATAAAGGACTGTCTTGGTCCTGTACAGGGTAGAATAGAAGTATGCAGGGAAAAATAAACTGAATTCTGGGAGAAAGAAGATGCAACCAAGAGAAGTCATGTAGCTGATGCCAGAGACAGACTTGACAGAACTTAGCTGGTAAGCCATAGTCACGTGGTAATACACAGATTAATGAAGATAGCTTAGTTTAGGATGTAAGAAGTAGCCAGTAAGAAACTAGAGATAATAGGCCAAGCAGTGATTTAATTAACACTGTTTCTGTGTGGTTTTTCTGGTTCTGAGCAACTGGGAACCTACAAGCAGCCTCCTACAACAGTATTTCAAATGTGATATAGTTAATCAAGTATAAATTTAAATCAACTCAATTTGATATTGATTCCCAACTATTGGAAAACCTCAGATATTCTTGGTACATCAGAGCCATGGAAATCCTCCTTTTTAGTGGGAGGATTCAAGAACTCTAAATATAAATCCAAGACTTTTTAAGAAAAGTAAAAGAAAAACAAAGAACATGTTTGGAGAATATTTAGATTCCCAATTAAGACAAGGTACCAGCTCAAATGCTCATCAGATTTCAAGCATAGCATTAAAAAAAATACCCAATACATGAAAATGGCAATCCTAGTGGTGTTAGCTTACAAACCCAGCTACTTCAGAAGTTAAAAACCATTCTGAGGTTAAAGTGAAACTGAAAACAAATAACTGGTTGTGTTGGCACAAATCTCTAATCCTGAGAATTGGGAGACCAAAAGTTCAAAGCCAGACAGGGATACATAGTGAGACTCTTTCCATAACAAAACAAAGCAATAAAACAGAAATTATGGAGCCCATGGATGTAGCAAAGTTGGTAGAGTTCTGACTGACGTAGCTTACATGAAACCCTGGTTTTCATCCTCAGCATTGCTTGAGATGACCATGTGGTTCAAGCTTGTATTTCCAGCACCTGGAAGATGGAGGCAGGGGGATCAAAAGCTCAATGTCATCCGTGGATACAAAGTGAGTCCAAGTTCAATAAGGTCTACATTAGACATTGTCTCTAAAAGAAGGAATTCATTATGGTGCAAGATTAGCCTGATGACCTGCTGATCTATCAGGAGGACCATATGTGTGGAGTCTTCCTTAGTCACTGAGTCATGATGATGTTGATGGTTTGGGGTTCTGGATAATTGAAATTTCTTTTGTAGAAAATACTTGGAAAAATCCATTATTTCTGAAAGTATGATAATTATGAATTTAAAATAATATTAAGCTCCTGTTCCATTTTCAGAGTGATGGGATTGTATGAATGTGCCATCACAACCACTAAATGTCATGTTGAGGAAGAAACTTCATTAATTCTGGGTAAAGTCTACCAACTTAGCCACATCCTCAGCTAATTTTGTCCTACAATGCTTCTGTAATTTAGTGCTACTACACTAATATAATGTAACGCTAAAGATTAAATCTGGAACTCTGCACACTAGGCAAGCATTCTACCAACTGAGCTACATCTCCAGTCAATTTTGTCCTATAATGCCTCTGTAATTTGGAAGGTTATATAGATGCCAGTGTTGTTTACGTGGTTCTTTCTTAATGTTTCCCTGATTTTCTTCTGGAGATGAGTCAACATGACCTATCAGTTTTTCATTTGTCATCAATTCTTTTGTAGATATCAGGATAAAAACAAGTTATGACAGAGAAAAGATGAATTCTCATCTAAGCCATAGACATGTGTACAAATTTCCATCATCCACATACATGAACTATAGAAGTTTTTACCAGTTTATAGTTTCCCAAATTAATGATGTATAATAAAGTCTACAACATAAATGGTTGTGTGAAGGATTTTCAGCAAAATGAAATTTGGGGCTTATTGGTATGGAATGAATATATTTTATGTGTGAAAAGGCATGAATGAAAGCATCTTGAGGAAGAAAGGATTTATTTTGCTCATATTCCCACTTCTTTGCAGTTCAACATCCAGGGAAGTCAGGGTAGAAACTTGGAGGCAGGAGCTGATGCAGAGGCCATGGAGAGGTGCTGATTATGGCTTGCTCCTCCTGGCTTGCTTAATCCACCTCCTTATAGAACCCAGGACCATCAGCTCAGGGGCGGCACCACCTTCAGTGGCTGGATCCTCCCCAAAATCACTAATGATATGGGATTCCCCTCTGCATGCTGGGAGTATATTTTATTAATAAAGAAGCTACTTTGGCCTATAGCATGGCAGAATAGAGCTAGGCAGAGAAAACTAATCTGAATGCATGGAGAAAGACGGCAGAGTCAGGGAGCTAGCTAGCAATATGTCTAAGCTATTGGCCAATTTATATAGTTTCTGTTTGATTATTTGGGTCTGGGTAGCCTGGAAATGAATGAGCAGTCTCCATTTACAAAGTGTCACCCAAACATTTGGCAATATGCACCCATAAAAAGCCTCAGAAAGCGTGAAGAAAGGGTTTCTAGACCAACAAAAATTGGGAGTCCATTAGAGCTTCCTGGTAGCTACATATTGTTAGATTGACTCTGTTTGGTGGTGGCAAGCAGAGGCACAACTCCTTGAAGAGAGGGCTTCCTGACTCACTATTAGCAGCAAAAAAATTCCCACCTTCTTTAAGAACTGGCTTTCTGGTTTCTGGTGGTAGCACAAATGGCTCTGGCTCTATTGGGAAGTTGAGCACTTTAAAAGGGGTCTGTGAGCAGCTTGTTACACACTGCTTAATGGTGAATAGACCTGCTATGTCTCTGGAGCTGGGGTGATAAGAATGGCTTGCAGTGGCGGTGAACATACCTCTGCCATGTTGAATTGGGAGAGCTTACTTAAATGTGAATACATTCACATATGAATCGAAGAACATACAGATAGGTCTCCACTATTTAAGATTTTATACATGCAAATACAGTCCCAGATATGCAAGAGTAGGTTAGAAAGCAATCTAGACTCTAACATAGAAACATAGAACTGCATTTTCATATTAGAAATGACTTTTTATATGTAAAGCACACAGTAAATATGTGCAGGTTCGTGTCCGAGAAAATAAACAGACAGAACTGAGCTGACATACGTATACTCAACCTCAGAAATCGAGAAGTATTACTCCCTATGGCCTTTGTCCTGTGTATCTGCCCTAGGGTCAGGGTGGAGGTAAGAATATAGGGAGTGAGCAGGTTCAATGACTGCCCAAGCAGGAAGTATGGCACTAATACTCCTGGACAATGATGCCACAGGAGGTGGGAACAACTGAAGTTGCTCAACTGGGTGGAGATCCAGGTTCAGCATAAAAGTCCTACTGGAGTGTGCAGTGAAGTGGACAGTGCTCAGACCAGGACCATGGAGCCCAGTGTCGTGCTCCTCCTCTCTCTCCTTGTGGGTTTCTTAGTACTCATGGTCAGGGGCCACTCAAAGGTTCATGGCCACCTTCCACCAGGACCCCGTCCCCTACCCCTCTTGGGAAACCTCCTTCAGATGGACAGAAGAGGCCTTCTCTACTCCTTTATTCAGGTAAGACATGCCCACAGCCTGTGCCATATGGGATTAGTCCCATGTTTGCTCATGAAGATCACTCATTTGGGGTGAAGAAGGAACTCCTTCCAGGCAGTAGGTTCAGGTGGGAAGGTTGCTGAGTGAAAGGTGAAGTGCTGGTTGGTGGTAGATGGTGCTCAGGTTGACAGGTGTGTCCTTGTTGTTGGATAGTGTGAGACACTGTGCTTGGAGTGTGAAAGGTGATGGGGTGTCATGGCGTGCACCAAGGGCTTACAGTTTTCCTATCTGATGTTTCTTTGCTTCAAAAGAGAAAGAAAAATGTCACAGGCATCCACAGATAAGGTTTCCATCTTCCAACACAAGGAATTAGCCTGCTGTGTTCAGGAACAAAGGGGAGGAGAGGTAGGTCAGGAGGTGGGGGGTAGGTAGGGAGTGCTTAACAGTTTTAAACACAAAGATCATCCAAGGAGCTAACCCTGGCATCATCTTTACCAGTCTTCACAAGCAAGATTTTATATTCAATTTCCACTTGTTTATTAATAATCATGTAGCATCTTTGGCTCCAGTTCCCATTTAGAGATCTGATTTCATGACAGCAATCCCAACTCCTGCTACCCCTTGGTTTTTAATATAACACCCACCTGGACCAATGGTGTATTCATTTGATTTTTATTTTATTTTTTTTGAAAGAAGATCATCCTCTTTTATCAGGCTAATGATCCTTCTGAGTTAACATCTTGCGGACTGGATTGAAAGATGTGTGGTACACCTGGCCACAAGTGTTTTAAAAATGTGCTTCCCATATGTTGGAAAGATCAAGTTAACATCATATTTATTTTTTATTCTTTTTGTTTGTTTGGTTGGTTGATTGGTTGGTTGGTTTGCCTTGTCGTTATTTTCCTTTTCTTTCTTGCTGTTTATTTTTTTTTTTTGAGACAAGGTTTCTCTGTGAAACAGTCCCAACTGTACTGGAACTCACTCTGTAGAGAGACTCAAACTCATCAAGATCCACCTACCTCTGCCATCTGAGTTCTGGGATTAATTTTTATTCCTTAAAAGTCTAATTCGTTCATTTCTCATTTTCCTCTCCTCATCTCTGTGTCTGAAGGCCCTTCCTACTTGGAGGTAACTATGGTTGCCTCAGTGAGTATGGATGTGGGGGCAATTGACTGCAAGTTGAGCAACTTATGAACAGCTACATCACTGAAGAAAGTGGCATTTCCCTCAGCATACTTAACTGCCCAGAGAGTCACAGGGAGTTCTGGTGACAACTTGTCACGATAGCATGACGTGCTGCATCTTTTCCCTGTAGAGATAGTCATCATGACCTGTGAACAAGGTTCCCAGGGGTTGGCACTGTGCTCTGGGAATGGAATTCCTACCCTCTACAGAACTCCTTAAAGAACTGTTCAAATCCATGATCCAATGGACATGGCAGTCTGGGAGCTGAGCTGACTTCTTAACTGTCAAGAGATAAGACTCTGATTGTAGATGTAGAATAAACTCATAAAATTTAACTATGCAAGTTATCTGCTCATTTGGGTGATATTGTGTATGAGTAAAACAATAAGATGTAGGAAGAAGCTGCTTGTTGGTTCCTGGCTGCTCAGAACCAAAATAATCACGCAGAAACTGTATTAATTAAATTACTGCTTAGCCCATTAGGTATAACTTCTTATTTGCTAACTCTTTCATCTTAGTTTAACCCATTTCTAGTAATCTGTGTATTGCCACGTGGCTTGGCTTACTGGCTAAAGTTCCCAGTATCTGTCTCCAGAGGCTCTATGGATTATCCCTAACTCTGCATTCTTCCTCCCAGCATTCAGTTTTAGTTTTCCCTACCTAGATTTGTGCTATTTTACCACCGGCTTCAGACATTTTTTTATTAACCAATGATATTCAAAGCATACAGAGGGGAATCCCACATCAATAAGAATTTTAAGATTGGCTGAGGGTTCAAACAGACTTACATAAGAGGCAGGACTTGAACAAATCACAAAGTTTTTCTGGAAGGTATAGAAAAGAAGCCATTTCTGAGCAGCAGCTTGTGCTAGGGAAAGAATAGAGCCAGGAGGATAAGGGCATGGTGTGACAGAGAAAAGGCAGGCATTGAATCTTTAGGTCGGGGGAATGAACCGGCTTTGTGTGAGTCAAAAGTGATAAGAACCGAAGTGATTCAACTAAGCAGGCAAGAGAGAAATCTCTCATGTCTTTATCTCTTCTTTGTTTCTATAAAAAATTAGAAAGGTTAAATTCTTCATAAATTAAAGGCTTATCCTACTCAAACTTGTGCAGTGTGGCAGTCTAAGATCAAGCAGTCCATTCTTCCAGCCTCTAGTGAGAACCCTTCTTGTGTGTCACAATGCAGGAAAGCCTGTCACATACAGAAGAGGCTAATCATGTACAGTGGCCTTGTTTTATAATAATCCATTCTCTGAGAATCCAGTTCTCTCTGTGAGACCAGCATTAACCTATTATATGGATCTGCCTCAAAGACCTAGTGCATCTCACTAGGTTCCAGGTCCCAAAGGCTCTGATACTTCTCAACACAACCATATTGGGGACTAAATCAACAGCAGAGCATCCATGAAGTCATAGCACATAGCACATAGGAAAGAAGAAAGAGCAGCTGGTCCAGACAGATGCTTCTGGATGTCAAGTGGTAGTGATGTCCTGTGGTGAACCCCAGACACAACCAGCTTGGCTCTCTCAAGTATATCAGGCATATATCAGGATATATATATATATATATATATATATATATATATATATATCAAATATATCAGAATGGGCCTGGTGTCTGATGACACAGCTGCTAAGGGCATCTCCATAAGGCCCAAAGCCATGTGCAGCTGGCAAGCCCTCTGGAATGTTTCTTGAAAAATTCTATGCTGGCTCAATAAAAGCTGAGAACTCTTCTAGGCATCTGTGTTGATGTAAGATGGTTGTGTGGGCTTTAATCAGTGTGTCTGTTACAAAGACTGAGTCATAATGACAACATTCTTTTGGCCAGTAGTATAGACAGAAAGAGGAGCTGGACCATCAAAGCTACTAATAGGATTAGAAATCGCCAGTATAATACAGTGTCAAAATAACATTTTAATTTTTCTTTAATAATAAACTCTATTATTGCTGCCTGGGAGACCAGTCTCCCAAAGCACAGGGTTCCAAATGAAACAATGACACTGGCATGACCTACGATTTATCTACCCAAGGGAGCTAGGGAGAAAGACACTCACATTCCACTCTCTTGATGGTTTCCTTCTTTATTTTTTATTCTTCTTGTCTTCTTTCTACTGTATACATTTTTCTATGGCTTATATAACCCAACAAAGTTTTCTCAGGCAGTATAAAAATCACAATGTGGTTACACTCCATGTTTCAATTGAATAATTATAAGGAATACAGGTAAAACCATGTTTTTCATGGCCTTTACGTGATTGAAAACAAAGTCATCCCGGTATCTCACTTACATTTATATCTAAGTAACTTGTTAGATTAACATATGCACCCATCAATAGTTTCTTATATCAGGACAGTGAGGGCAGGAATGAGTAAAAGGAGCTAAACATCACCTTTGATCACCAACCAACCCCAGCCAGGAAAGTGTGTCAGCTAGCAACAGTTGGGCTGCCTTGTGGTTTTGAACCTAACCTAGTGAATCTGCAACTCAGTTCTGTGTCCTTGTGAACATTATATTGTTTTCTGGTGCTTTCCATCTTAAGTCTATTACCAGAACATATGATTTAACCTGAAATTGTTTTAAAGGTTTGTTTTGGCTAATGATGCACAAAGAAACTTGTGAGTGTGTCTTTTAGCATCAACATGAAAGGAATTTGAGCCAGCCTGGCTCCTGGGACTCAATTGTTTCTCTTAATCATTAGCTTGAGCTATGATCTATACAGCTACATAAGTGAAACTCATAGGTGTTGTGGGTGTCACAGCTAAGGGTGTGTAGGTTCACATGGGTCTATGAAATGAGGACTCAGAGGCACCTTAAGAATGAATTTAACCTTTCTTGGATGCAGAGTGGGTCAGCCTCTCTAGAGAACCTTCAAAACTAATCCATCAATATTCAACATTCAGGACTAACCCTTTAGGACTCAACCATCAGGAACAACTGTTTTCCCTTTGACCAGGGCTCCTTTTAATGTTCTTCAATTTTCACCTAGGAAGTACATGTCCATATCCTCAAAACATCCTGACTGGGCCTCCAAAGGGATGTTGCCAAGCAAATACATGATTGAGGAGGAACCACAGTTTTCTGGGTTTCCTTCTAACCAAGTTTTGCATAGGCTTTGTACCCATGGGAAACTCTCAGACAGAGGACAGCAAGAGAAACAAAAGGTTAATTGCTAACAAAAGATGAATAAAGCTAGGTGCTAACACTCTGGGGCTGGACCAGGTGTAGCCCAGCAGGAATGCTGCCATACATAGTCCCTAGCCCTGTCACAGTTCCTTATATTTACTTTTCTTCCTCAAAACTGTGTATAAGTTATCACTGTTATATCAGACAGTGCAGGTTTGGGAGGAATCATCTTCTTGACAACCCACAGATAGGAATTGCCCAGTAGAATGGAATGTTTTCATGTTATAAACACACAACATCACAGGCAGTGGGAGTCTCCCCACAGTCATTCACACAATGCCACATACCAGAGAAAGACAAGCAGCAAACAGGAAAAGGCACAGAGAAACAAAAGATGCCCCTGGGTCTGTGGTCTCTGGGTCTTGTCTGTCCAACTTGACTCATGAGAGTTTCTTCCGGCTGAGCTGATACTGTGAGCTTCAATTGCCACCTGTCCGCTGACACGGCCACCAGCACTCTATATTATAATGCTATTATATTGGGTGAGCATTTTTTCAGCCTCATCTTAAAAATAAATCAGTCCTCTGCTTCCCCATTTCTCCCCTGTTCCTCTTTGACACCAGCTCCATGTTGCTCTCTGACCCTGTTCCCCTTCAGGTCCTAGCACCCATAAGCAGAATTTGATGTGGCACCATGACAGATGGAATCAGTTCAGGTACAGAGGTGCAATCATGGTAGAGATCTTGATCTTATTTTCAGCAGCAAGGGTACAGTGAAGAGCATAGGGAAGGTTCAGGATATTAAGTAAGGAATGTTTCAGTGAATTCTATGATTTGGGTTGTGGTTAAACTGTTCTTATGGATGTAAGAACAGAAATAGGGAACCAGGACAGGACTTGCTGAGGGAAATGCACAGCATTTTAAAGTAACCTTAATAAAAATCTTTTAAACCACTCTTATTTATGACCATGTGTGTCTGTCTGTCTGTGTGAGTATATTTCTACTTGGTTGCACAAACCTGTTTATGGAGGCAGAGGCCAGAGAAGGGTACCAGGAGTCCTCCTCTATCAATCTGTCCATTTCCTTCAGTCAGGCTCTGGTGCAGGAGAATTGTCTGTATTCTGTCAATCATGTATTTTAATAAAATGCTGATTGGCCAGGCAGGAAGTATAGGCGGGTCAACCAGACAGGAAGTAGAGGCGGGGCAATGAGAATAGGAGAAGGCTAGGGAGGAAGAAGCTCCCTCCACCACTCCTGTGCAGACCACTGAAGCAACAACATGTGAGCTGACAACTGAAAAAGGTACCAAGCCATATGGCTAACATAGATAAGGATAATGGGGTAACATAAGTTATAAGAGCTAATAAGTAGCCTGACCTAATGGGCCAATCAGTTTATAACCTAATGTAGACTATGTGTGATTTTCTTTGGAACTTGCTGGCTGTAGGGTACAAGGCGGGACAGAAACCCCAACAAGCTGGAACTCATGTTACAAGGCTCCCTCCCTGAAACTGGATCTGGAAGTCTGCAAGACCAAGGAATCCTTCCATCTTCACATTCTAACTCTTTACTCAGAAGTCATAGGCATGTATGAATGCCTCAGCTTGTTATATTCATGATGAGATCCAAACCCTGGTCATCACAACTGTACAGCAAGTACTCTTATCTGATGAGCCCCAATTATAATGTTAACAAATGATCTGTATCATCTATCTGTGCATCAGCAACTTATTTGCCAATCTATCTATGTATTTACCTAAAATTTGTATATCCATGTATTATCTGTCTATCAATCTATCCATCTTCTTTATCATCATCTTCATATTCATGTTTTGTGAGTGTGTTTGTGAATGGTCCTTATACATATCTGATATCTGAAGAAACCAAAGAGGTCATCAAATCCCACAAAGCTGGCATTGCAGGCAGTATTTAGCTATCTGACATGGGAGGTGGACAAAACTCAGGGCTCTGCAACAACAGCAGTGTTCTTAGCCACTGAGCCACCTCTTCTGCCCCACCTATTAAGCTTTGAGTTAAGATGTGCAGAGTTTTTTCTTAGCATTGTCCCCTAAACAACACTGGGCACTGACCATTTTCATTGCCTTTCATTTCTATTAGCTGCAGTGCAATTTAGAGAGAATAAAGGTTACAAAAGAGGAAGGGATATTTGCAAACCCTGCACCAAAGTCCTCAAGGGCTCTGAGCACTGGAAGGTTGTTATGTTCCCAGGACCAATTTCCTGTAGATGCTCTGATGGTTGTATTGCCAGGCATTTTCTCAACTGTTCATACTGCAGTTATGACTCACATTCAGGACCACTACTAGGGAACTATCACTTTCCTTCCCATGTAACCCAGTAGGTGGATCAGGGCTGTTCTTTCTGAATGTTGTCAGAAGGCATTGGACAGGCTGGAGCTGGACCACAGGAAGCATGGTTCAACTGGCCAGACTGAAGGGTATAGGCATGAAAATAAAGCACATCTGCATCCATATCTGTATCTATTATTTTTGAGATAGGGTCATATGTAACTGAGACTGATTTCAAATTGGATGTGTAAACAAGGATGGCTACTGATTCTCTGGTCTCTACTTCTCTTGTGCCAGTATTATAAACAAGTGTTACCCTGTCTCCCTGCTCTACAGTAATGGTGTACTGATTAGGAAATTCAACCAATCAGTGCAGACCCTGCCTGTCTGATGAATTACCTTTCACCTCTTAGGTCCTCAGGAGAGAAAGGGTGACCAGCAGAGGGGTACCTATTTACCAGTCTGTGTCTAGGTGTTTTCAGAGTGTAAGAACAATGTCTGCACCGACTAACCACAACCCTTGTATCCTTATGCTTGGCAGCTTCGAGAAAAATATGGAGACGTGTTCACAGTGCACCTGGGACCAAGGTCCGTGGTCATGCTGTGTGGGACAGAGGCCATAAGGGAAGCTCTGGTGGACAAAGCTGAGGCTTTCTCTGGCAGAGGGACAATAGCTGTGTTTGACCCAATTGTACAAGGATATGGTGAGATACAGGACAGGGTGAAGTGGATGATGTGGTCTGGAAAGATGTGGGTGAGAGTTGGAACCCGAGCTGTGGGGAAGGACTCCGAGTCTTTGAACTTCTGTTGTAACCCATTAATGCTTCCCTTCCATTCTTAGGTGTGATCTTTTCTAATGGGGAACGCTGGAAGACCCTTCGGCGTTTCTCTCTGGCCACCATGAAAGATTTTGGGATGGGCAAGCGAAGTGTGGAGGAGCGAATTCAGGAGGAAGCCCGATGTCTGGTAGAGGAGCTGCGGAAATCCCAGGGTGAGTCCTGGAGAATGGGCAGAAGGGAAGGTGGTGACACAGGAACCTGAGTGCAGAACCACAGAAAGAGAAAGACAAGGGCAGAGAAATACACACACACACACACACACACACACACACACACACACATACACACACAGAGAGGGAGAGATGCACAGAGACAGAGTGAGTTTGGGGATGAGATACAGACAGAGGTGGAAAGACAGAATCACAATGACAGGAAAGAAACATGAGGTATTTTGTTTCCAAAATAACTCAAAAGCAGGTATTGCCCATGGTGATCACTTCTCTTCAGAAAATCAATCTGAATTAATATTCTTTGTCAATTGGGTAGGACTGGTGGACACACATCCTCTCAGAATGCAGAAGATGAGGAAAGATGACCATGAACTCAAGGCCAGGCCTGTCTACATTATGAGGTCCCGCCTTTGATGTGGCTGTGGCTGAGTTGTGGAGAGCTTGCAGCACCATATACAGTGGGCATGGTCCTGCATGTTTGTAATCCCAGCACTCCAGAGGTAGAGGCAGGAGGATGAGATTTCCAAGATCCTCTTCTACTGCACATGGAGTTCAATGTCACTTTTTCTTAAAAAAGGTGTCGTTGCTACCCACTCTTCCCACGGTCTTATCAAAGACTAACACAGGTGTTAGCTCAATGAAAGGGAAGTGAGCAGGAGGGCCTGCAGACATGGTCTAAGCAGGGAACTGTGTTTTCTTCCATGTGAGTGTGCTGGTGAGCAGCAGTGAGCACAGAGGCTCATTGGAGTTTGACTCTGGTAGAACTCAGAGGACCTCTGGGCACTTTAAGGTTCCTTATATCGAGTTCATGTTGGTACATGACCATTGTTTGCACCTCCATTTCTTTACACTGGGTATTTGCCATCTCTTATCGGCCTTTCTTAGGAGATCTGATGGTTCAGTGAGGAGGCAGGAGGGAAGAAAGTTGCAGAGGCTGAGAAAATGATGGGAGAAAGAAGTCAGTGATGGAGGATCCCAGAAGAAGAGAAGTGAGCTCCAAGGCTGATAGTGAAGTTGTTGAGCACCAGGGAATGATCCACAGAGAATCAGAGACCACAGACAAGCCTGTCCTGGGTGAGGCACAACAGTGTCCCAACAATTTTGGATTGACAACAGAGCTCCAACAACCAGCGTCCAAGACTGAACCTGGCACACATAGGCAGCAGGCAGTAGGGGCTCATGGCTTCTGGAACACCACAGAGCTCAGAAGTGAGAGGAAGGATGGAGGAAGCCAGGGAAGAGATGGAGAAAGTCAAAGAAGGGATGTAGGAGGTCAGAGAAGGGATGTAGGAGGTCAGAGAAAAAATAGAGTAAGTTAGAGAAGTAATGGAGAAAGACTTGTAGATGGGCATGAAGTGTGCAGGATTTGTAAATTCACACAGCCTTCCCTGAACCTTTCTGTGCACCATTTCTGCCAGTGGAAGTTAGCTATCAGTTCAGAGTCAGGATGTTGTCCTTGGAGGAGGAGCAGGTGCAATCTGACTGCACTCACTCTACGCCTTGTTCCTAGCATCCTAATTCCAGTCATGATTAGCTGAGTTGCTTTGTGAAAGTGTCTCCCCTTCTGTGTATGTAAATAGCATCCCATATTTTGTACAGTACTGAGGGAATCTAAATAAAAGGGTGTGTGCATCTCTGAGAGAAGTGTCCAGACTCTTACGTGCATTATTTGTGCAAATGTGGTAGCAACTGTAACTGTTCATTGAGTAGTGAGTGGTAGGGACAGCTTTACAGAGATGGAGCTGAAGCCAAATATTTCCCTAGTTCTATATCCCTGTCTCCTGTCCTGTATCCTCACCCTCCAGGAGCCCCCCTGGATCCCACTTACCTCTTCCAGTGCATCACAGCCAACATCATCTGCTCCATTGTCTTTGGAGAGCGCTTTGACTACAAAGACCTTCAGTTCCTGCATCTGCTGGATGTGATCTATAAGACCTTCTCGCTCATCAGCTCATTGTCCAGCCAGGTTAGTAGGTGGGAAGAGAGGAGCATCCAAGGAAGAGGAAAGAAGAGGCTGCTCTGTAGGTGAAGAAGGCAGAGTCTTAGGAATGGGAGAAAGGCAGAGACAACATTGAGAAGCAAGGAAATTTGGTCTCCTGGACGGATGGAGGAAGAAACAGAGGGAGACAGGGATGTTAATCAGGGTGGAGAGATCTGAATGCAGAAATACTGAGTGAGTCATCCCGACATGAGAAAATGATGATGTGTGGGATGCAGTTGTATCTTAGGGGACAGAGGACATCATAATATATGCATGAGCCCCTGAGTTCATCTCCAGGACTTGGTGGTGTACAATACATAAAATATTAGCATTATTGTGGTAGAGGTTGGGGCATCAAATTTGGGACAATCCTTGGCTACATGTTGAATTGAAAGCCTGCCTGGCTTTAACGTGTTCAAAACACAATACCCCACAATTTAAAACAAGTTAAAACAAAACAGCAAGGGGTATTGGGAGAGAGAACAGAGAAGAGAAAAGGGGAGGTACAGAGAATGTAAAAAGAAAGTTAGAGACTGATTTGAAGATACAGTGCAAGGCATGTGTATGTATGGCGTGCATGTATGAGGTGTGTGTGTGTGCGCGCGCGTGTGTGTGTGTGTGTGTGTGTGTGTGTGTGTGTGTGTGTGTTTGGGGGGGGTGTTCTTTTGTGACATCTGTGTACCTAGAAACACTGCGCACTTCCTGAGACCTGCTAGTTCCAGGTGACCTCCTCAGCCCTTCTTTCTTGCAGGTATTTGAGCTCTTTTCTGGCTTCCTGAAGTACTTTCCTGGAACCCACAGACAAATCTACAAAAACCTGCAGGAAATCCTCAACTACATTGGCCACAGCGTGGAGAAGCACCAGGCAACCTTGGACCCCAACAATCCAAGAGACTTCATCGATACCTACCTTATACGCATGGAGAAGGTAAGTCCTGCGTGAATGAGAGGGGATGGCTGAGAGTGAAGGCTGAGGATGTGAGTGGAGGAAAAGGGGGGCAGAGAATGGGAAGGAGAGACAGGAAATGGAGTGGAGGAGATGCAGAAGTGTCTGGAAAACGATGAAAATAAAAGGAGGAGAAAATGTGATAGGGAAAAGAAGGCTGAGGAAGAAACACAGGCAAGAGACAAAAAAGCAGGAAAGACCTCAGAGGAAGAAAGAGCCTGGGAGATAAACCATGTTAAACTACCAGAGAGCACAGTAGAAAGAGAAAGCAGAGCAGAGACCAAGTGATCTTGTCGAACTGAGAAATACCATGTGGCCCCAGATAGTGAGACAGAAGGACAGTTCCCAGGACGTGTGTGCCTCTCCCTACAAGTCTCCACTCACCCCTGATCCTCTCTTCTCTCTCCCATCTGGAACCAGGAGAAGTCCAACCAACACACGGAGTTCCATCACCAGAACCTCATGATCTCCGTGCTGTCTCTCTTCCTTGCTGGCACCGAGACCAGCAGCACCACGCTCCGCTTTGGCTTCCTGCTCCTGCTCAAATACCCCCATGTTGCAGGTGAGCTACAGGCGGCCAGTTGCAGGAGCTTCCAGCTCACCGTTTTCAGCAGAGGTTTGTGTGGATGAGAGAGACATGGGGCTCTTACATCTGGAGCTCTGAAGGCTTTGGACTACATCTAACCTAAGGCAGAGCTGTGGGTAGTGTGTGAATGAACACTCAGCTGGTCCATTTCCATTGTTGTCTGCTAGAACTTAAATGTTGATCCTTCCATCCATCCATCCACTACCCATCTTTCTTTCCCTCCGTCTTTCCTTCTGTCTTTACATCCATCCATTCATTCTTCTTTTTGTCCATACTACTCTCATCTTTTTACCCATTCTATTCATTTACCCATCCACTATCTACCCATCCATATATTCATCTGCACACCTACTCACCCACTCATGTAATCCTCTGCCCATCTTCTCTCTATCCATGCATTATTAACCCTTGGTTCTTTCATCTCTGCTTCACCAAAGGGAATATATTTCATTCATTTATTTCGATTAATACCTTTGCAATTTTTGTTTTTTTAATTTAATTTAATTTTTAAATAAAACAAACTATCTTTTTCATTTAGCATACCAATCCCAGTTCCCTCCCCCTCACCTCCTCCCATCCCCTCTACCTATCTGCTCTCCATCCCTCCATCCATTCTTTAGAGAGGGTAAGGCACATTGCTTTGGAGACAGTTCAAAGCCCTCCCTACTATATCTAGGTTGAGCAAGATATTCGTTCAAAGAGAATGGGTTCCCTAAAAGTCAATACAAACAGTATGGCTGACTTCTAGTGCCACTGTCAGTGACCCTGCAGTCTGCTCCAGCCATACAATTGTCACCCATATTCAGAGGGACTAGTTTGGTCCTATGCTGGTTCCTTTCTTGTTGGACTGGAGTTGGTGAGCTGCCATTAACCCATGTAAACAGCTTCAGTGGGTGTTTCCATCATGGTCTTGACCTCTTTGCTCATATTCTCACCCCTCCCAATCTTCAACTGGACTTTGGAAGCCCAGTGATCTGTTGCAGGTCTCTGCCTCTGTGTCCATCAGTTGATGGATGAAGGTTCTATGGTGACATTTAAGATATTCATCAATCTGATTATAGGGCAAGTCCAGTTTGGGCACCCTCTCCTCTATTGCTTAGGTTCTTAGCTGGGGTAATCCTTGTGTATTCCTGGGAATTTCTCCAGTGCCAAGATTCTTGCTAATCCCATAATAGCTCCCTCAAACAAAATATCTCTTTCCTTGCTCTCATTTCTGACCTTCCTCCATCTTGATAGTATCTTACAACAGTCAGAATGGCTAAGATCAAAAATACTAATGATAGCTTATGCTGGAGAAGATGCAGGGTAAGGGGAACACTCATCCATTGCTGATGGTAATGCAAACTTGTACAACCACTCTGAAAATCAGTATGGCAGTTTTTCAGAAAATTGGGAATCAATCTACCTCAGGATCCAGCAATACCATTCTTGGACATATACCCATAAGATGCCCAATCATACTACAAAGGACATTAGTTCAAACTATGTTCATAGCAGAATTGTTTGTAATAACCAGAAACTGGAAACAACTTATTTGCCCCTCATCAAAGAATGGATAAAGAAAACTTGGCACATTTACACATTGGAGTACTGCTCAGTGGTTTAAAAAAAAAGTGACATCTTGAAATTTGCATGCAAATGGATGAAAAAAACATCCTGAGTGAGGTAACCAGACTCAGAAATATGAACATGGTATGTACTCACTCACGTGTGGATACTAGCTGTAAAGCAAAGGATAATGAGCCTATAGTCCCTGTTCCTAGGGAAGCTAAGTAACAAGGTGATCCCTAAGAAAAATATGCATAAATTCACCTGGAACGGGAAAATGGACAAATACACCTGACAAAATTGGGAGCATGAGGATGGGGGAGAAAGGAGGCTGGAAGGGGAGTAGTTGGAGAGAAGGGGAGGGGGAGAACTTGAGAAAACAGGTAAATTTTACTCTATATCACAGCTGCTTGAGTGCACTGGCTGTCGTTGATTCACTGGTTCATTCATATACAAATCTGCTCATTCCTTCATCCTTCCACGGGCCTTTGAATTCCCCTTTCATGTGTCAATTCTTTCCTCCAGGTGTCAATTTAATAATACATTCATTTATCTGTGATTTGTTTATCGTTTAATACTCCTACTCATCTATTCCTATATATGCTCATTCATTCATTCACATACTCCTTTGCTAAACCTAAAATAACTGCATTATTGGCTAGTTATGTTCATTGATTTATTTGTGTATGCCCCACTTATTGACTCATTAATTGATTAATACAGTGAGTGAGAAATGAAATATGGAATCCAGTTTTGCTTTGCTCATTTCACTCACTCAACAATCTTTCCTTTATTAACTGACTCATCCATTGCTTGGCTGACTTATACACTCACATTCTAAGAATTTGAAACCGATGTGATGTTGTGAGTGTTTCTGCTGCTGCTCTTGTGTGGAGGTGGGAGGACAACTTTATGCAGTTGGATCTCTCCTGCACATTCACATGGGTTCTGATGTCAAAGCCGGGCTGTCAGGATGAAAATCAGTGCATTTGCTGACTGAGCCTTTTCATCAGCTATCATATTCAAAATGTGTTCATATTCTTTATTTTGTTATACATAGACTAATTTACTTCTCTTTTATTCCTGAGGATATAGCCTCAGATTGTTAGCCTGTACTTTTAATTTCTTTTAACTAATGAACATTGCTGTTTTGTCTGCATATATGTCTGTGTGAAGGTGTTGAATCCACTGGATCCAGAGTTACAGACAGTGCGAGCTGCCATGATGGTGCTGGAAATTGAACCTGGGTCCTCTTCAAGAGCAGCCAGTGCTCTTAACCATTGAGACATTTCTCCAGCAACCTGGATTTTTAAATATAAATTGCATGCAAAGAAGTCTGTGTGTCTGTTTCTCTTTATCTCTGTATGTTTGTGTGGGGTGTGTGTGTGTGTGTGTGTGTGTGTGTGTGTGTGTGTGTGTTAGGCAGGAACACAAATTATAACATCACATTACAATTCTTACCATCTTTCCTCCGGTCTTCCCTCGGAATGATAGATGACATAGCCCTTTGCTGTGGGTTTTTCTTTTCTCTCTTTTATGACCAAGTTTGGAGTTTTGGAGAAAGTCTCTAACATAGCTCTAAGCGTGGTTGGAGAGACAAATGCCTGAGAGACGTGCAGGTGTACATGTTCAAGAGTGCAGCGTGTCTTTCTCAACAGAGTCTCCTGGCTCTGCACTGTTCCTAAGCTATTGACTAACAGAAAACAGGGTCACTGTGCATTGCCTCCGTGAAGGGTGCAGTCCTTGTCTGTTGTCTCCCTTTTCTGTGCAGAGAAAGTCCAAAAGGAGATCGATCAAGTGATCGGTACACACCGCCCACCAACCCTGGATGACCGCAACAAAATGCCTTACACTGAGGCTGTCATTCGCGAGATCCAGAGATTTGCAGATATTGTCCCCACTGGAGTGCCGCACAAAGTCACCAAAGACACTTTGTTCCGAGGGTACCTGCTCCCCAAGGTGAGACCAGCTGTGACTCCACATCTCTATGCCGTGATCATCCTCCACTCTCCCAATCACCACCCTAGGCCTGTTTGTGGTTTCCTGGCATTCTGTAATTCTCTAAGGACTGAATGCCTGCATATGGGAGTCAGGGTATGCTAATACCATTGCCTCTCACAATGTCTCCTAGAACACTGAGGTGTACCCCATCCTGAGTACAGCTCTCCATGACCCACGGTACTTTGAACAACCAGATGCCTTCAATCCTGACCACTTCCTGGATGCCAATGGGACTCTGAAGAAAACAGAAGCTTTTATGCCCTTTTCTATAGGTGAGACGGACCTGTGTTTCCTTTTCCCTACACTAGAGGGCAGGCTCACCCTCCAGGATACAGTCAGGACTAGTTCCATGCTTACTGAATCTGTTCCAGTTTGGAAACCTTTTGTCCTGGCCACTGTCACTTGACCTAAAGTTGCATCCTACTCAGGAGGATTTTGGAGAGGCATTTAAAAACCTCTAAACCTAAACGAATTCATTTTATTTTACTTTATTATGAGAGAAGACCTTTTTAAACAAGTGAAAACACTTGTCTTTATTGTGATTAAATGGCTGACAGAGGAGAAGAAAGGATGTTCACAGAGAACACAATGGGCTAAGTGCACAACAAGGTTCCTCTTGCTGCTCCCAGCAATAAACAAGAGATTAATTAATAGAGAGGAAGGGAGCACAGATATTCCCAGGTCAGGACGTTCAGAATCTCCTTAAACTCAATGCAGCAATGTTCATGTAAAATCCTCAAAAGAGCAGAAAACAGTTCCTCCACTTCAGAAAGAGCAATGAGCAAAATAATCCATTCATTGTTTTCCAGTTGCATCAAATCCATCAATTCTTTCTTTTCATATCAGACTTCTGTTTATGTATTTTCCCCTTTTATTAAAAATAGATTCTTTCCTCATACAATATATACTGATTACAATTTCCCCTTCCCTCTCCTCCTCCCAGTCCCTCTACACCTTCCCTACCCTCAAGATCCACCCTCTTTCCATCTCTCATTAGAAAAGACCAGGCATCTAAGCAATGACAACCAAACATGATGAAACTAAATAAAAGATAAGACAAAAACCATCAATGTTATACAGTGCAAACCAACAGAAGGAAGAGACCAAGGGAAGGCACTAGAACCAGAGACCCACTCACTCGCACACTCAGGAATCCATAGAAACACTAAACTGAAAGCTATAAGATGTGTCCAGAAGACCTAGTGTGGACCCGAGCTGCCCCTGTGCCTGCTGCCTCAGTCTGAGTTCATATGAGCTTTGCTCAGGTGGTTCAAAGCCTCTTTTTTTTGGTGCCCGGCATCTCCTCCAACTCTTAAACTCTTTCTGCCTCCTTTTCCTCTGGGTTCTCTGAGCTCTGATGACAGAGACATTCCATTTAGAGCTCTGTGTTCCAAGGTTTCTCTCTGTGAAACATCTGGCTGTGTCTCTGTGAATTTGTTTCCATCTGCTGCAGGGGGAAGCTTCTCTGATGATGACTGAATAAGGAAGGCTCTGATCTATGAGTGTAGCAGAATACATTCAGGGGTCATTTTGTGGTTACTTTTATTTTTCTTTTTGAGCAGTAGCATCTTTTATCCTATGCCTGTGGGCTATCTAGTCCCTGGTTCCTGGTCACTCAAGCAATGCCTCATATTCAAACCACACATTGAATAATTGCTCCCACAATGCACTGTGCATTGTGCCACTGTTGAGCCCTAGTATATCACACATGGAGGATAGCATGTTTTATCAAAGGTTTTTGTGGCTGGGTTGTTGTATACATTTCTCATTAGGTAGCCTGTAGAATGCCTTCCTATACAAAAGACACTAGATCACAGGTGTGAAGGTTCTATATAGGCATCAGCTAGATGTCTCCAGTCCAGTGAGTTGTGTCGGAATTGTCTTCAGCGATGAGACCTTGTTTTCAGTTTGTGGAGTCATCCAACTTCTTGGAAACAGCCTTGGATTGTTTCAGGTCTTCCATGGGATCCTTTTGGCCAGAAATTCAAATGAATGTAACCCAATGCTGATATTAGAAGCTTCATTTAGTGACCAGATCTGACTATGTGGGACTATGTCTCCCTCATTATTTGGAGACTTCATGAGGTTCACCTTCCTGTAGTTTAGAAAGTTTCTGCTGTACTAAGTTTCCACACCAGCACTCAATCCCCCTCAATTCTGTCTCTGTCCATACTCTTCCCCTCAATCCAATCTCTCCTCCCACCTAAAGCTCCCATTCCTGTCCCTCTGATGCCCCTAGTCCACCCATGAACTCTATTCTATTTTCTCCTCTCAGGAAGATTTATATTCCCCTCCTGGTACTTTTGTCTGTTTCTAACTTTTCTGGATCTATGGATTGTACCTTGGTTATCATTTATTTAATGACTAATATCCACATATAAGTGAAGACATGCCATGTTTATCTTTTTGGGGTCTGGGCTACCTCACTCAAAAATATTTTCTAGTTTTATCCCTATGCCTGAAAATTTCATGATGCTATTTTTTTAAACAACTGAATAATGTTCCACGGTCTAAGTGTAACACGTTTTATTCATCCTTTTGTTAAGAAACATGTAGGTTTTTTTCAATTCTGGCTTCCATTAATTGATCAGCAGTGATCATGGTTAAACAAGTGTCTGTTTGGTAGGATTAAGTGTCCTTTGGGTATATGCTCAAGAGTAGTATAGCTGGATCTTGAGGTAGATCTATTTCTAACTGTGTAAGGAACTGCCACAGTGATTTCCATAGTGGCTGTATAAGTTTGCACTCCCACCATCAATGGAGGAGTGTTCCCCTTACTCCACATCCTCTCCAGCATGTGCTGTCACTGTGTTATTGATCCTAGCCATTCTGAAGGTGGAATGGAATCTTGAAGATGATTCCATCTTCAAGAATTATTGAAGGAAGAATGGAATCCATTCTTGAAGATGGAATCTCCAAGTCATTATGATTTACATTTCCCAGGTGACTAAAGATGTTGAACATTTCTTTAAATGTTTCTCAGCCATATGAGTTTGCTCTATTGAGAATTCTCTGTTGAGATCTGTATGCCATTTTTACATTGGATTATCTCTTTTTATGTCTAATTTCCTAAGTTCATTACATAGTTTGGATATTAGTCCTGTATTTGATGTGGAGTTGGTAATAATCTTTCCCATTCTGTAGGCTGACACTTTTTATCCAAAAATAGTGAACTTCATTTTGCAAAAGCTTTTTTGTTTCATGAGTTCCCAGTTTTTGTTGTTGATCTTACTGTCTGTGCTATTGTTGTTCTGTTCAGGAAGTCATCACGTGTGTCAACGACTTCAAGTCTATTCCCCACTTTTTCTCTATTGTGCTCGTTGTATCTGGTTTTATGTTAAGGTCTTTATACATCTGAAGTTGAGTTGTGTTTAGTTAGGTAAGTATGGACCTATTTGCATTCTCCTACATGCAGTCATCCGATTTGACCAGCACCACTTGTTGAGGATGCTGTCGTTTTTTTCCCCAATGTGTATTTCTGGCTTCTTTTGGAAGGATGTTGTTTTCTCTATGCTAATCCTATTGATTCATCAGCTTGGGAGATCTTTCCATCTTCTCATGTCTTCTCCATTTCTTTCTTCAAAGACCTGAAGTTTTTATTGTACAAGCCTTTCACTTTTTTGGTTAGAGTTACCCCAGGATATTTATAATATATGAAGCTATTGTAAAAGGTGTTGTTTCCCTGAGATCTTTCTCAGTCTGTTTGTCATTTGTATGTAGCAGGGCTACTGGTCTTTGTGAGTTACTTTTGTACCTAGCTATTTTGCTGAAAGTGTTTATCAGCTGTAGTAATCCCCCAGTAGAAATTTTTGGCGCTCTCTCTCTCTCTCTCTCTCTCTCTCTCTCTCTCTCTCTCTCTCTCCCTCACACACACACACACACACACACAAACACATACACACGCACAGTGTGTGTGTGTGTGTGTGTGTGTGTTCATATCATCTGCAAATAAGGGTACTTTGACTTCTTCCTTTCCAATGTATTTGCCCTAGATCTCTTTCAGTTGTCTTATTGTTCTAGCTAAGACTTCAAGTATTCTATAGAATAGATGTGGAGATTTTAGACAACATTGTCTTGTTCTGAATTTTATTGCAATTGCTTTGAGTTTCTCTCTATTTAATCTTATTTTGGTTGTAGGTTTACCAAAAACTGCCTTTGGTACGTGTAGGTATGTCCCTTGTATCCCCATTCCTCTCCAGCACTTTTTATCATGAAGAGGCATTGGTTATTGTCAGTCTTTTCTGCATCTAATGAGATGACCTTGTGGTTTTTCTTTCTTTCAGTTTGTTTATATGTATGAATGGTTCATATATTGAACCATCCTGGATCTCTGGAATGAAACCTATTTGATCATGGTGGATGATCTTTTTGACGTGTTCTTGGATTTGGTTTGCAAGTATTTTATAGAGTATTTTTGCCTCTATAAGGCAAATTGGTCTGTGGTTCTCTTTCTTTGTGGCTTGGGTATCAGGGTAACTGTGGCCTCATAAAATGAAATGGACAATGTTCCTTCTGTTTCTATTTTGTGGAATAATTTGAGCAGTATTTGCATGAACTCCTCTTTGAAAGTCTGATAGAATTCGGTGTTGAAACTATCTGTCCCTAGGCTTTCTTTTTTTCTGGGTTGGAAGTGGGCATTGTGAGACTTTCAATGACTACTTCTCTTTCTCTAGGGATTATATGTCTGTTTAAATTTCTTATTGGATCTTGATTTAACTTTGGTAAGTAGTGTCTATCAAGAAAATTATCCATTTCTTTTAGATTTTTCAATTTAGTGGAATACAAGCTTTTTAAGTATGTCCTTTAAATTCTCTGATTTCCTCAGTGTCTCTTGTGTATCAACTTTTGCTTCTGATTTTGTTAATTTGGTCAGTCTCTTTCCACCTTTTAATTTGGATAAAGGTTTGTCAACCTTATTGATTTTTTTCTAAGTATCAATTCATCTTTTCTTTTATTGTTTGTATTGCTCTCTTTGCTTCTATTTTATTGAATTCAATCCTGAGTTCGATTATTTCTTGCCGTCTACTCCTTTTGGGTGTGACTTCTTTTCTTTTTTTTTTCAGAGTAGTGGTTCTTACCTCTCCTAAAGTGCGGTCCTTTATAACATCAGTTAGCTCCAGCATTTCTCTGTTTAGTTTTTGTCTGTATGACCTGTCTATTGATGAGTATGGAATGCTGATGTCTCCCACTGTCAGTGTGTGAGGGTCAATATGTGATTTAAGCTGTAGTAGTTTTCTTTTGCAAACTTGGGTGTTCTTGTGTTTGGGTCATTTAGAATTTAAATGTGCTCTTGGTGGATTTTTCCTCTGATGAGTGTGTAATGTGCTTCCCTGTGTCTTCTGATTATATTTAAATCTAATTCATTAGATATTAAAATGGCCACACCAGTACAGTTCTCAGGTCCATTTCCTTGGAACACTTTGTTTTAATCCATTTACCCTGAGGTAATGTCTGTTCTTGATGTTAACACAATTTTCTTGGATGCAGTCGATGGGTGGATCCACTTTTTCATCCATTCTGCTAGTGTTTTTTTTTTTTAAATTTTGGAACTTGAGATCATTGGTGTTGAGAGATATCAATCAATGACCTATGATTGTTGATTCTTGTTATTTCGTTGTTGCTATTATTGTTGTTGATACTAGTGGTGGTGATGCAGGGTGTGTGTTTTTCTACTTTTGATTTTGCTGGTTTGAATTATTTTATTCCCTGTGCTTTCCTGTATCCAGGTAATATTTTCATATTGGAGTTTTTTTAGCATCTTATTTAGGGCTAAAGTTTTGATAAATATTGTTTAAATTTGATTTTATCATCAAATATCAAATTTTCTCTGTCTATGGTGATTGAAAGGTTTACTTGATATTGTTGTCAAGGCTGATATCTGTGGGTTTTTTGAATCTGCAATACAACTATCTGGACCCTTTTGGCTTTTAGAGTCTCCATTGAGAAGTCAGATGTAATTCTAATAGGTTTGCCTTTACAAATTGCTTGGTCTTTTTGTCTTGAAACTTTTAATAATTTTTCCCTGTTTTGTGCATTTATGTGTTAATGGGTCTTTCTTTTCTGATACAATCTACTTGGTGTTCTACAAGATCCTTATACCTTTTTAGACAGGATTACTGAGCTCTAGTGGAGACACATTGTCTTGTCTGTTACTGATTGTGTTTTTATGCTGGCATCCAGGAATCTGGTTTGGGGGTGATTACAGGTCTGGGTGCTGAAATCTGGGTTTGTCTTTGTTAGGCAGATGTTTGGTTTCTTGGTTTCCGGGGTTTCGGTGAGCATGATGTCTGTCTGTTGCCTTCATGGGAAATTTTCTGTGGACCTGTTTCCACAGGTCCTGCCCAGCTGGTGTGTTCCCAGGGAATGCCTGCTGGTGTTGGAGGCTGGGATAATGGGATAAGTTGTTGTGAAGGTAGGTTGAAGGCAAAAATCTTTGGGATTTATTATGTATGGGGTCAGGGAAGATAGAGCACACCAGGCATTCTACTACAGAGCTGGGGGTGAGATGGGGTCTGTTGGGGTGGAACTGGAGAATCAGAAAGGTGTGGATTCTCTGTCAGCCTATCTGCTTCCCTGGTCAGAGTGGCCTTTGGGTTAGTAAGGGGTGCCTGCTATGGAAGATCAGGGAAATCCAAGAAGATGGGGATTGTGGATACAGAAGGCTGCAGCAAGGGTTCTGTTGCAGAGGTGGGATGAGGACTGGGGTTTGGGTCTTGGGGAACAGAGGGAGAGGTGAAGATCTGCAGTCAGTCTTCCTGAATTCAGGGCAGAAGTGGCCTGTGCATTAACATTGAGAGTGCGAATTGTTTTTCTTAGGGAACAACAACAAGAACAAATGACATCATCTATGAACTGCCATGAGCTTGTAAGGTCTTGGGACTAGGGAGGCATTTATCTGTGAGTACTGGGGAGATGAGGCATGTCCTGACACACTTGTCTCTATTAAATACTCATTGACTTGTTAAACTGTAAGAGAGATCAAAATTCCTAGCATTTATTTTTTTTTCCAAGAACCCATTCATGATGGACAAACTCCTGAACCAGAAAAAAAGTCAGTTAAAGCACCCAGCAGTGTCAGCACACAGTGTCTGTAGACCAGAGGGAGCTGGGCATGGACACACAACTTGATGGGTGCCAGCTCTGCTTTTGCCTTACTTGGCCATGCTGAGGCAGTTGGCAGCCTGATCAACTACTGTGATTGACTGAGATTTGTTCTTCACTGGAAGAATATAATCTCTCTAGTGCGTAATTCAATTGCCTGTAGTGTTTATTTAGTTTGTTACATAAGAAGATGCTATCTAGGTTGATTCAGTTGAATAGACCCTATGGGATGTAAGCATAGAAACTTGGTGTTCTGGTTTCTTATGTTTTGGAGAGAGAGGTTCTAGAAACAATTCCTTAGTCTTTAGTTGCCCCCCCAGCCTCATGCTAGGGATGGAGCCCAAGGCTGTGATACCATGGTAAGCAAGTTCTCTTCCAATGAGCCCACACCTCCAGCCTCCCCTTGTGCATTCTAGAGATGATCTCCTGCTGAACATGTCTGTCCTCATCCTCTCACAGAGAGATTTTAGGCAATTGTTCTCCTGCTGAGCCATGTCTCCTCTAGGAAATGTCTAGTCCTGAGTGCCAAGTGACTTCAGTGTCCCTGGGCTCAGTCCTGTCCTGAATTGTCCATAAGACTGTCCCAAGGGTAGAAATGTAGGAATGTTAAAAATAAAGTGAGAGAACTCAACGATAGAGAGCTATAGAGATTGAGACAGATTCCAATAAAGAGAGGCACCCAGAGACACAAGGAATCTACAATAGGAGGAGATGTGTGATAGGAATCAGAGCATGAACATGAGAGAAAAGAAGATGGGTGAAGAACCATATGTGAAGATGTAAGTCAGGAAGAGAGGAAGGGGAGCGAGAAGAAGGGGGAGAAAGACACAACTAGAAAGAGACAAGAAGCAGGAGAGAAGACACAGAAGGAAGACATGACAAGTTGTCCTTAGACAGAAAAACGGGAGGGACCGAGATGCTATCTAGGGAGTTTAGAAAGACACAAGTGGACGGAATAGCTCAAAAGACACATAGGAGTGTTAGGTACAGACACAGATTCAGATAGGCTACCATTGGCAGAAAGAAAAAAGTAAAGAGAGAGAGATAGACAAAATGTGTTAGAGCCAAAGAGACATAAATTGTGTCCCAAATACCCAGCGCAGGGATGGAGACTTTGTGTTGACAGTGAGATAAGATGTTAAAAGCAGCTCTGGAAAAACCTGGGTCTCAAAACCAGGCCTAGGAGAATCATCTCAGAGACCTCTCCATGAATTTCTAAGCTCATACCACCTAAATTCTGAAAAGGTGGGGCCTAAGCAGATAGGGTGCTTTCCCTAAATACTCCTACACAGGCATGATTTCCCAAGAATTTTAGGATGCAGTGGTTGTTGGGAAACCCCTCCTCCACCTGAAAGCCTGAGGCAGCCAACTTCAGAGTAAGAATCACTGAGGTACAGGGCAGGTGGTGAAGCCTTTGCCTGGGCTTTCAGGCTCCCTTTCTCTGTGCTGCTCCATGCCTGAGGAAACAAACAGGGGCTCCTTATACCTCTGAGAATTTGTTCGGTGCCATAGATCCCTTACCATGTGCCCCTGCTCATTCTCAATTATATAAAAAATTGTATTCAGGAACTAGTTGAAGTTGATCAATCTCAATCTGAAAAAACAAAGGGGACTGAGAAAGAGAAATAGGACAGAGAGAGAGAGGGAGGAAAAGAGAGAGAGAGAGAAAGGGAGAGAGAAAGAGAAAGGACTGGGGAGGAAAGATAGAGGGGGACAGAGGCAGGGGACAGACAGAGAACTCTTGGTATGTATTCCATCATCTTCAGGCTGTAGTCTTCCAAGTGCACCTGCGGGCATGTGCCCCCCATGACTGGCTCATCTAAATCCCTTAATGCCATTCAGTTGTCGGTCTAAGAGTCTCTGTAAACAGTACCTTCACCTTTAGGGCAGCCAATGAGATGGGGATCAACCTCCACACATGAGAAAGGAGTGAACATTAAAGATGTTACATTATACATGTTTACACATATGCATTTATTCCTGCTCTATTGTGTTTATACAATTCTGAAACCAAGGACTCTGATAAAAAACAAAACCTAGAAATCTGTCAGAAATTACCATGAGACATCCACCAACAATTTGGCTTGCATTTTATGATTGAATTATTACATATATGTTGACAGGCATATACATGTGCACTATGGAGGGTGTGTATATGTTTATGATAGACTGTGGGAATTTGTTCTCTCCTTGCAACATGTGGGTCCCGGGGGTAAACGCATGTCCACAGGATTGTTGGCAGGCTGCCTTCCATTCTCACTTGAATTGGAGGTTAAGGGTCAAACTCTTTCTTCTCCACTGCAATGAGAGAGCTGACTGGGTTTAGGGAAGGGACAGTCTGAAGATTGCATACTGCCCAGGGACTCACATGGCTCATTCTCTGTGCCCACAGGAAAGCGCATTTGTCTTGGTGAAGGCATTGCCCGCAACGAATTGTTCCTTTTCTTCACCACCATCCTCCAGAACTTCTCTATGTCCAGTCCCGTGGCTCCTAAGGACATTGATCTCAGGCCCAAAGAGAGTGGCTTGACCAACGTAGCTCCAACATACCAGATCTGCTTCTTGACCCGCTGACTGGGCTGAGGTGGCGAGGTGTCCCCACTCCTGTTGAGAATGGCCCCATCTTTCTTCCTCTGTGGGACCTGCTGCCAACCAGGCTGTAGGTCACTGCTCACATCCTTCAACCTTATTGCAGCTTCTGCAAAGCTCTCAGGTGTGTTCTTCTGCCCTGAGAAAGGCACTGCTAAAATCAATCACTGTCTTTCTTGATCTGTGAACCAAGAGACTTCTGGAGGCCACATCTCATGCTGAGTCAGTTCCCTACTGCGCCCAGCAACCACAGTTTCCATGTAGAAACTTCTGGTGTTCCATCACCTAATCTAATGGATGTTGGCCATGTCAGAGGATCAGCAGGTGAAATTGAAGTCCAAGGTGTCATTTCACCTGGAGGAAAACTTTCTAATATGTTAATCTTGTTTTATGCAAGACTATGAGAACACAGATTCTGTAATATCTTTTGATTCCACTTTGCCTTTACATATTTGCTGCTACAATTTTCCTCTTGTATCGGACTTGGTGTAAGTAGATGTGGAGAGACCCCGCTACCTGTAGCATATTGTATTTCTCTTATGAAAACAACCTGTTCTACTGGGCATTTTATTCTGTGAATTGTGAAGATGATTCCTTCCTAACTGTGCTATCTAATTGAAACAATGTTAGCTTATTAAGAATTTTGAGAAATAAAATGAATACAAGGAAATAATACATAGTAAGTTCCTACCAGCCCCCCCCAAGGAGCTGCTGCAGATCACAGCTCAAGTTAAGAAAAACAATGAGCCAGCTGTCTCAAATTCCTTGAATCTTAATGCTGAGAAATCTATTACAGGCTTTGGTGGACACCATTAGTTGAAACAAAGCTTCAGAATAACTTTAGATTAGACCCGATGCCTTGATAATGGTCTTTTAAAGATAAACTACCCCAGAAAAAAAACCAATCTAACATTCTGAAGACACATAGACAAGATGCTGATTCATTTATGATAGAGTCAAAAATAAAAAAAAAAACAGCCCAATTATTGCTGACTGTCAGATGATTACATTATTGCACCCACTCCTGCCATCCTATTGCTGATATGGATATGCACCATGAAGACTCAAGTTCAGCTGACTGACTGTTTCTTATGTATGTAAGTGTTGGGTCTTGGGACTGCACAAATAACAGGGAGTAGAACACCAAAGTCTAGAAACAGAAGCAACTTTGTTCAGTGACACCATTTGGGAAGGAAATTCTGATTAGTCAGGAATAGAGAGAGTAATTTGGCTCTGTAGCCCTCCCAAAAGGGAACTACAGGTTTCTTTTTATGATCCCAGGTCACACACAGGGTAAAAAGTACATTTTGAGATTTAAAACATCATAGTGCCACAGTATCCTGGTAGTGTGGACTGGAGCTGAAGCTAAGTATTTATGGAATGTTGACTTAAGCCTGAACTAGGGGATTTATGACACTCCAGGCATCTCTGAGAGCCAAAGAGATTCTGGATTTTACAAATTCTGATTACAGATGGTAGTTCAAAATGTTTAAACAGTTGTGAGTTAGTTTGAATTGTCTTTCGCTTGCCTCAGAGAAATAAAATTAAAGCCCTTTGTGACTCCTGCATTCCCTGAAAATGTTGGTTGGGGTATATAAGTGGGAGAGAGAGAGAGAGAGAGAGAGAGAGAGAGAGAGAGAGAGAGAGA